GGAACTCTTACTAAGGATTTGCTGATAGTTTAGAATCTTAAGCTAATCAAAGCAAGACACAAATCTGCCTCATATGTAAGCCCACTACAAATCTGATATAAGAGAGGCCCAACCTTCCTAGAGATTTGCGTCCATCCTGTGACCCAGAATCACTCATGACTGTGTATTGTGATGGCAATGTTTCTAAATTATAAGCTCCATTACAGCTGGGCATGTTGATGAGGCCTAAGTAATATTTAAACTGCAACCAAGGCCAATTTTGATGGGAATCTATTGGAATCTAATGAGAAAATTAAATTATAGATCCTATACCACCCTGTGCGACCTGGGCTAAATGGAGTCCTTCAACAATATTGTTGGCAAAACAGAAGAAGCGTAAATAAGTAAGATAAAGGTAAATTTTATTAGCACAATGTACCATTTTGCATAACATCAGGTCTTTGGAAGGAGGTTTATGTTGTTTGTTTATCAGGCTGGCTAAAACTGACTCTCGGTGGGTGGACAAACATGGTTGACAGGCTATCATCTTCTTTACATTACGACAATAAGAGTATATGAATCTGCTTTTATAATATATTGCATGCTTAAAATGTGAGATTTGCGTGTATTCATAACATTGTTGATAAAGGTTTATAAGACATTTCTAATAACGCAGCAAGACAAATTTTAGGGGGAATGCACGTAAAATTAATTTGAATCTGTCCTGTAAAACAAATGCAGTTCAGAAAATTCAATGACGATAAGGAAGGCAGCCTTGCCACCCAACGGAGTAGTATTGGAGTGGAGAAACATTTTCCATAGGCCGGAGGCAATACAAACCGTTGTGAAGCAAGTAAAGTAAAATTGCCTAAGAAGTCAAATTCATGAAAGAGACGAAGCTAAGACAAGGATGTTGAGGGATTGCATGTACTCTTGTTTGGGTGCTAGCGACCTTTATTCATACAATAAGTTGTCTAGTGTCTCATATGGGTACATAGAACTTGCCAAGATTAGTAGTGAATTGGATGAGTGAAAGGATTAGCATGAGCTAGAGAGAGAAACACTTTTATAATAAGTGAAACTGAAATAGGCGAGTTTATGAGGACAAAGACATCTGGAACGAAGCAGTTAGTCAAATCTCAGAGAAATAAATGATGCTAGAAGTGTAGTATGTTTCAAGTGAAAAGTGCGAAAGGCATGAGTTTAGCAAAATAGCTTATTCTGAAAAATTTTCGTCTTAATAAGGAACATAGAAATATGAATACTCTATACAGCATGCACAGGCGAACTTACGGATAAGAGATGTCTAAAAGGACGTGCTTTCTGGTGATTCATGGATAGGAAGAGGGTTTGAAGTGAAACGATTTGTTCGTTTACGATGATGTGATGGTGTACTGAGTGTTAGATATTGCCATTCGTAGATGTAATAAGCTAGCCGATTTCCGGGGTTTACGATATGCAGTGAAGTGAACGTCTATATATGAACTTTGTTTGATTCGCTTGTGCTGGGTCGTCGTTGTGTTGATGGGAAAAAGTGAGGAATCTTACACTGCATTTAATAGAACCTGCCTTCCTTTCGTCTTAATATCTGTCTGATGCTTTCTCAAATAGCCTCACAATTTGGACATAGCTTTACCACTTGCTTTCACTTGACTGCCCGCAACAAGAATCTGCAATAGCCAACAAATTTTCTCATATTAACTGACCTGATGCCCAGAGAAGCAGCCATGCAAAGCATTCTGCATAAATATATTCATAATCATATTCAATTTCTGAATAAATAAGGAAGGCGATTGAGGAAAAAATTAGTTAAAGGTACGTATTTAAAAAACTATAAATATATATTATTTGTTTTTGCTTTTTAGTGTTGATTAGAGCGTATATATATACATTGGAAAATATGTATATATATCTATAAAAGTCACGGGACGCATCATAGTGCAGGGTGTTTGACAAGATTTAATGGCCGATACTAGCGCACACACATTCAGATAAAGGGGCGCATATACACCCTGGGGTTTCATCTTTCAAGCATTCACTTAAGGGCATGCATAAAATAAATAATTTATGATGCCTCAGCGGAAGAAGAGGATAGCTGCAAAAATCAGCCTTGATTCAAAGAAATCTTTAATGGAGTCCATGAAATGATGCTCTGCCAAAATATGATGGTGGGAAGATAAAGGGAGAAGAAATAGATTGCATTTTCTTGTGGGATAAGTAGCCATATGCCTTTAAGCTTTGCGATTATATAAGTTAGTGTACTTCACAATGAAGGGGAGACAAAGTGGCTTCCACAACAAGTGAAGTGTCCGCTGGGAAAATTGAAAGAGGGCTAAAAATAGTTTAGTCGTTTAGCTTGCTGCAATGGTTATTGTTCAAAGATCAGGTTAGTCTTGATGGGAATTAATGAGATGAGACTTTGAATGCACTCGATTGAAAAGGTAGAGGAAAAGGGTGGGTAAAACAATAGCATTGATAATAGAGAAAATGTGGATTGTTGGAAGCAGGACCGGGGAGGAGGAAAGTGGCATGCTAGTCAACCATGGAATCGATCTAGCATGAGTTGTGTTGAGTTCCTGTATGAATTGCCGGCGGACATACCCGGAGGCCTAGCCGGATTTGTATCTGCAACAAGTACAGTCTCATCCTGGAGGCCGATAGCAAGCAAAATTGGAGTGGGAAATTGTATAATCTAAATAGGCCGGGAAGATTGCTGTCTATCCGCGTCTGTGCATTGGGTTAAGGAGTTGAGATAGCAAAATGAATAACTGGCTGTCATATCTTTCTAGGCTAGTGATCATCCGAAAGGAAATAAGCAAATGGGAGAGTGGATGGTTCAATGAGTATGTCAACAGTGCGGCTACTGATTGATTAAATGCTTAGTGCTTTAGTTGATGATAGAATGGATTGAACGGCTCTAGCGATTAGCTACTAGTCTGGCCACCCAAAATCATCATTTCGCACAGGTTACGCCCGAGAATTTTGCATTGACATGCATGTGATGTGAAAAGACAGATCATCTGAAATGTTGAGCCAGAGAACAAAATAAGTGACCCAATTGTTATGCAAAGGAATAACGGTGATGCTTGAAATCATGCTAGAATGCGTTCCATCCCGGCAGAGAGGGAAAGCAAAATTGTGCTTCCCAGAATTTGTGAGCTCTAGAAGTTGCCATATTTCAAGGAAAGTACAAGCAATGGAGTGCTTTTTAACTGACGTTCTTACGGAGCGGAAGTTGTGCAAATTACTGAAACAACAAACAAAACTTCTGGCCTGAGGTAGAGCCACGTGATGGAGGCCAGACCGGTTAGGCATAGCACAAGGATGTTGGCTGAGCAGTGTAAAATCTGAAGTAGTATTAGCTGGCGAGGACTCTTGAAGAGTGTCCAGTCATATGTTAATAGAATATGCAAAACAGTGCATTGGACGAAGACAAAAGGGAAAGCATAGTCAGTGGCTGTGATGAAGTTTGAGCGAGAGTAAAGTTGAAGCTGGGTGACAGAAGTTTGACATTCATCGGAGGCGGATATTAAGCAAACATATGGGCTGTTGTTCTCTAGGCGATTGGTTTTGTTCACAATTTGATTGCATGAATAGATATGTATGCATTCATCCATATATTAGTCTATTTATACGTATATGCATAAGGAAAGACTTGTTTTTGCATGTGAGTAGTGCAATTTGAGAATGGACGTAAGGAAGGATGGATGGGCGTATATGCGGATGAGTAATTTACGGGTGGATGAGTTGTTTGGTAGGTCAGTTGGAGATAGCTTGACGGTGTAGTACCATTTTCATACTGCCACTCACGTATTAAGCTGTATGCAAGGGCAAATTTTAGATTGCTCTGGATGTCTCGTTTCCTTTTCTTGCACGGCACTCGATACCTGCACTCAGCCTTGCCCTCTACTGAAACATTGAAGCATAGGCTTGTGCACTAGGTGTGCCGGCATCCGCTTGATTGTATATGTATAGGCTCGGTAACATGCCTGACTTAATTGAATGCGACACTTTACCCGAGAGTGTCTAGATGAGTGTGGGGGTCTAATGAACATGTAGGGGGGGTGGAGTGGAGGAAGGTACAGAATAGGAGTTGAGGTTTTACTTGGAAAGGTGATTTAAAAGATATTTAATGTGATAGAGATCGAGGCATGGAACAAGTTTACTTCATATCGGCCAGTCTATACTGAGGTGGAGTAAAGGAAAATAAAGGTTGAGTAAAATAAGGGGCAGATAAAGGGAATGGAAGAAATAAGATTTAGGGATTATAAAAGAGTAAAGCAGGAAAAAGTGTTAATGTGATACAAATAGATTAATGCTAGTATCTGAAGAAAAATATATAAAAACTAAGATAAAATTTCCTGTTTCGTAGATCAAATATACAGAATGTGTAATCACAAATATACGTAATAATCAGGAGGAACGATATAAGTCAAGAGGAAAAGTATCCATTGATCGAAATACGATAGGATAAGAGGCAATGCATCCACATAAATTCAAATGAGGAACTTGCCAAAGCTTCTAATCCGTTTAATTTGGCGTTTGGTAGTTTGTACATATACACATTAATGCATGTATATATCTACATATGCATAAGCAGATAAATTTGCCTGGTATATAGAAGATTTGGTCCCGATCCAGTTGCTCGTGAACACTTTGTTATTAAGCCCCTGGGTATATAAATCCAGATGGCTAATTGAGACAAAGTTAAACAAGAGTGAATGGAGATTCACGTAAAATACATCCTTTCGAATTAAAGGAAATCCACCATCTCATGAAATGACTGAGGTTTGGCTATATTAAAAAGCCTAATCGTTTAATTTTATTCATTTTTGGGCTCTTATTTCTCTCCGTACAGCATTACTATTTGTTAAAGCTTAAAAAATTTGCAAAAAATCCAACTGGATTCGTTTTTGGTGATCAG